TGAATTGGAGAGATAAGAATAAACACGTTTGTCTTTTTCCAATCATAGGCAGAATTAATTCATCTTTCACCACTAAATATGATATTGGCTGTAGGCTTTTCTTAGATACCTCAAATATCAAATTAAGAAAGTTCATTTATCATGAATGAATTTTTAATTTTGGCAAATATTTAGATGCATCTGTTGAGACTATCATATTGATTACCTATTTTATTGATATAGTAGAGTGAATTCTATTGATTGATTGATTGACTGCAGTGCTGAAGTTCAAACCCCAGGCTGGGGTACATTCAAGGCAAGCACTCTATTGAGATACATTGGCAGCCCCATTATAATTGAGTGAATTATATTGATGTTTGAATATCATCCAAACCTTGCATTCTGGATTAAATGTAATTAGAACGTGATTCATTCTCTTGTTTACATAATTCTAGATTTGAATGGTTAATACTGTATGTCTTTGCCTATTTTCTGTTACTATTAACACAATACCACAGACTATGCAAGTTATTTTTTAAAAAGAGGTAAATTTTGGCCCATGGTTTGGAAATCCAAGATCAAGGAGCTGCATCTGGGGAATGCTTTCTTGCTGGTGGACTCCCCAGACACTAAGACATCACACAGTAAGAAAAAGGGAGTGTGTGTGTGTGTGTGTGTGTGTGTGCGCGCACATTCACACGCACGCATGTGTTGTTCTCTCTCCCTCTTATAAACTCACCAGTATTCAATCATAGGGACTCACCCACAGTGACTTTATCTAATCTCAGTCACCTCCCAAGAGCCCCATCTCTACACCATAGCCAAATTTCCTCTCATTTAATACTTCACAAGGGGGAGTCAAATTCAACATTAATTTTGAAGGGAACAAACCATAATCAAACCATAGCATTATGTTCGGAATATTAAAATACCTTTTTATTAAAAATATGCTGGTTGAGCCAGGGATTTAGCTCAGTGGTTCCGCTGCCTGCCCCGCCAGTGCAAGGACCTGAGTTCAATCCCCGGTACTAAAAAAAAAAGAAAGAAAATATGCTGGTCTATATTTTCTTATAATATCTTTTCTGGATTTGGCATTGATATACAGCTTAAAGAAATAGTTTAGAGAGCTAGGATTTGGTATAATAAGATTGGAACATGCCAAAAATATATCCAAAAATATAGGCAGTTAAACAAGAAAGTGTCAAGAAGGGACCATATTTCTCCTAATAATTCTGCTATGAAAAGATATAGAACTACTGACCCAGTAAGGAGCATGCCAGATGCATGAATTGGCCAAGCATGGTACACCACAGTAGGACTATCCTACTAGAAAAAAGGTGGATAGTGTGCCCATCCTGGCTTTCAGACAAGATGGGAGGTTTCTAATGAAAATGAAATAAATTATACAGAAGAAACATAATGTTCAAAATTCTAATGAGGTAAAATCTGATTCTGGAGATGAATACAAGAGTGTCCCAAGGGGAGAGAGAAATGTGAGAGGAGCTTATAACTGGAGCCCAGAGTCAGGATAAGGATTCTCAACAGGGGATGGAGTTGGAGCCTCCATGGGACAGCAGTAGCTTGTGCTCCACAAAGCAGTGATGAAAACACAGAAGAGATTTGAGCTCGGGTGCAAGAGGCAAGAGAATGAAGTACCTCTCGCCTTACCCAACAAGCTGGGTCTGTTGTAAGGGGAGCTGTGATGGTGAATTTCTGTGGCAGCTTGGCTGAGCCATGGTGTCCAGATAGGTGAGAAAACTTTATCTTGGATATTTCTGTGAGGGGTTCTCAGATGATATTAACATTTCCACTGGTGGTTGGCAAATAGAGTAGACTGACCTCCATAACGTGGGTAGGCTTTATCCAGTTAGTGGAAAGCCTGAAGAGAATAAAAGACTGATATGGCTCAAGTGACAGTGAATTCTGCTTCAGACTTCCTCTGGACTTGAACTGCATGTCAGCTTGTCCATAATTTCCAGCTGCTGACCCATCATGCAGATTTTGTTATCATCTCCATAATCACGTAAGCCAATTCCTTGAAATAAACCTCTTTTTATAAAAAGGAACAGCTGTTCTTCCATATCCATAGAGGATTGGTTCCAGGATCCCCATGGATACCAAAATCCACCAATGCTCAAATCCATAGTATTTGCATACAATCTTTGTACATCTTCCCTTATACCTTAAATTATACCTAGATTACTTATAATACCTAATGCAATGTAAGTGCTATGTAAATAGCAGTTGTATTTGTTTAAGGAATAATGATAAGAAACAAAAGTCTTTGCATGTTTTTATAAAAAATATCTTGGTCTGTATTTTCTTTTTTTTCTCAGTATTGCAGATTGGGGGTTGGTTCAATATGTGCATGCAGAATCCAGGGGCTACTCTACATACTCATTCTATTGGTTCTGATTCTCCTAAGGCCTCTAATACAGAAACTAGTGAACATTTTGGGGAGCAATCTTTGCTCCCCTATTTCATGGAAGAAGAAAATGTGGTCCATGAAGAAGAAATTTCTTTCATGTCATTGTAATAGATTGGACAACTGCTTTTGACTGTTTGGCTCTCTTCCTATAAGAGATTTATATGTGCTTTCCCATTGGCAGATGACTCTCTTAAATATCCTTTGGCAGAAATGTATGTCCCTGATCCACTGGTTTTTGATGTGGCTGTGTATTATATCTTGGCTATACAGATATAAATGTCCAAGGGATTTGATACATCCCACCTGACATTTAATTGCAGTTGCATGATTTAGCTTGACGGCTGTTGCAATCAGAATCCCAGAATGAGAGAATAGTAGGAGGAAATTTGACTGAACCTACAGCCTAGACCCATGCCCAGTTTAGGCCAGATGAGCCAGGAAAACTTCAACTGTAGCCCTTTAATGAACCAGGACAATAAATAAAAGTCTGCAGTGTAAACCATGAGCTATCGGCATGGTTTTTTTCCTCACAAAAGCTACACAAATAACACAATAGATTCACAATTGGGCATTAACATCCACTATCACTTTGATTTCATTTTCAAAATAGTTCTGTATACTTATTTATTGGATCCCTGCTATGTACTGTTAGGGGTATACATTTTCTACTCATATTTCCATAAAAGGGAGATATTTTTCTCTCTATCCCTCAGGAAGAAAATTATCAACGAGAAGTGATGATTCAAATAAGACACAGAAGATGAGCCCTAGCAAGGCCAGAATAACTGATAGGAAAATATCAGAGCTAACCCCTGATTATCTGATGAGAGAAGGGGAACGTCTCTTTAGATAAACATTTGAAAAATTTAGGGAAGGACTTTAGGAATCAGGGAAGTTTTAAGGAGACTTGGTCCCTGTTTCCTTTACCCAACCAACCAACTAAAATGCTAATCTCATCCAGAGGAGAATTACAGACACATCTAGAAATAATATTTAATCTAATACCTGGACACTCCATGACTGAGCAAGTTGTCACATAAAAGTAACCATTACAAGGCTACCCTTTTGTCAACCTGGCAACCCATCTCCTTAAACTATATTTAATCTCTATATGAAGGCAATAATGAGGTCCTCGTTCCACCTAACATGATGAAACTATCTGAAAAACAACTGAAAACTCTCTCACTTCTAATCCAGAAGTGGATGAAAAGCCATTGAGTGATATTATTACTCTTCTCTTTTATATGTCATTAATTTAAATACTATGGCATAAAATTAACAGTACTTAAAGATTGACTTAAATAAGTCAATATAGTTTATGTTACAGGATAAAGGAATAAGAGAGGGAGGAAAACATATACTGTATATATATCAAATATTTTATTTTCCTCCATATATGTATACAAATATATATGTATATACACAAATATATTCATGGCAAAATAAGGGAAAATGCTCATAACAGTTGATCACCATTTCTATAACCTGTCAAGTGGTCATAGTTGGTATTTACAATTACTCTCTTTTATTACCCATCTTGTATTCTCTTTGCTTCAGCAAGCACTTCAACTAGTCATGGTTCTTTACCTGGTAAGATAACCCAAACCTTCATTCCTGAAGGGTCTAGCCCTTTAGTGGTCCCACCTAGAGTAAATAGTTGTACTTTTCCATTGACCTTAATGTGTTGTAATTTTATTATACTGAAATTGCTCACATAATTATGGAGGTTGGAAAGCCCCAGGACCTGCTGTCTGCAAGCTGGAAACCCAGAAAGCCAGTGGCATATTCATTTTGAAATGATTTGTACACAACACATCAGAAAACTCCCAGTGGGAAGGAAACCCATAGCAGTAATCAGCTCATTAATTCTTACTTCATTGGATTTTCTCCCTTTCTAACTCACTTTTTGAGTCCCTCACAAGTGTTTCCTGGTTTTAGCACCCAATAAATAATTTGCACCTGAGTCCTTGTCCAGGGGAGTCCAAGCTAAATGTTGTGGCACCCTGAGGCCCAGTCCTTGGATCTCTTCTCTTATTCAACCCCAGTCTCATGGCTTTGAATAGTACACATATGCAGTAATTTTCAGGTTATATCTTCAGGGCCAGAGATCTCCCCTAAAGTTTTAATGAACATCTCTATGAAGGAGTTTAATATATATCAGACTCAACAGGCTCAGACGGAGCTGCTGACAGTTTCTCTCCTCAAAACCTACACCTCTGGAAAACTCACCAGTAAACTCAGCGTGTCTTGGAAGAGACAGAAAGCCCATGTGGCTGAAGGAGCTGTTAGAGGAGAGGTTATAGACATACTTCAGTGACACTGGGGGTTTGGTTTCAGACCACAGCAATAAAACAAATATCACAATAAAGAGAGTCATATGAATTTTCTTGGTTTCCTGGTGCATATAAAAGTTATGTTTATACTACATTGTGACCTGTTAAGCGTACAATGCCATTATGTCTAAAAAACAATGTGCATGCCTTAATAAAAAGATTTTATTGCTAAAAAATGCTAGCAATCACCTGAGCTACTGTAACAACTAAGATATGGAATCAACCTAGGTGACCATCCACAAATGAGTGAATAGAGAAAATATGGTATTCATAGACATTGGAATTTTATTCAGCCATAAAGAAAAATCCTGTAACAAAGTGGATGCAAGTAGAGGACATGAGGTCGAGTGAAATAAGTCAAACATAGAAAGATAAGTATCACGTGTTCTCTGTCATATGTCTCACTGAACAAGTGCACCTAAATGTACAATAGTGATTACTAGAGTTTGGGGAGGACGAGGAGGGCAGGGTGGATAAAGAGAGGTTGAATTTGGTCAGTGCACACTGTATGCATGTGTTAAAGTATCACACTGAGCCCCATTAATAAGTACAATTAATACATGGTAATCAAAAACAAAATAAGATGATTTTTTAAAAAGAAGGGCAAGAGTGGCAGAATTAACTTTGGGCCCACACACTGGAACAGAAAATAAGAAGAAAATTCTCTATCCAGAGGAGAGCTGTACTATACATATGGTTGTATTTGCTGCCAGGTTCTCTTCTATATAATCCTGTTCAAAATATTCTCACTGAGAAGCTGACATACTTGCTTCCCAATGAGCAAAAAAAGCATATCATATAGGCAACTGTTGAGATTGCGTGGTCCAATTTATTAGATAGTGTAAATCCAGCCCTAGTATCAGCTTAACCTCGGAATCTAAAATTGCTGAGATTTATAATTAAATTTCAGTTCTCTCTTCAGTATCATTCTACCTTGCCTCAAGTTTACAGGATGCAAAGTCCCTGCTGACAAAATGAAAATGATACTTTCTGAGTAGCATGAGACACAACAGTAGCTCTCTCTAACTTCTTTCTGCCTCTCTCTTGACCTTTTCTCATTAACAAATGCCTTTTTCTTTGGATAAAGTAAAATACATTTGTAGGATTCCTTTTGTTAAATGCCAACCATGTTGTCAGGTGGCACAGAAGGAGACAACAAAGATATTTTACTAGAATAGAAAAAACATCTTTTTCTAAGTGTCACACAAACATCTAGGGCTAAAGGAAATTGCTGTGATACTGAAAGTGTAGTCTACCTTCCCCAAGAAATAGCAAAGTAGTGTTATTATTTGCTGTGGTCAGCTAAAGTTTGATACCAAGAGTTCTAAAAGACTCTGTTTTCTCAAGTTCCCAAAATTGTCTACCCATATTTCCTTTAAAATGTTCTTTTTGGGGTTTCCTTCCTTTGATGTTGTTTACAGACATAGATATTGTCTTAATAATGCCACACATATCTGGTCCAGGCAGCAGGCCTGAGGATAATAGCCAGATGGGAAGAGGCAATAGAGACCAGAAACAATGCCAAGGGGTCAGCAGTGAGCAAAGCACAATGGAAAGCTCATTTTCTCCAAAAGGATTCAACAGCTCATATCTCCAGGCAACAATGAGGTGGTTCTTGTCCCTGAGATCAAGGTCTAAGCACAGTGTTCAATTTCCTGAGAGGCTGAGAAAGAGTTGGCAGAAGTCTGGGGCCCAGTGTGACCACTAGGATAATTAGGTCTCAGGAGAACAACCAGGGGACAAGCAGGGCCAACAGAGGCCAGATAAAACATCAAGATGGCCAGGATACTATTCTGTAAAAAGAAGAGAAAAATCAGTTAAGGATTGGGGTAGACTTGGAAGGAATTATTTCATTCAAGCTAAATTGACTAAAGGGAGCAGATTAGTGTGCAGAATAGGGGCGAGCTAAGGAGATACACATATCCTTCATGGATGTGAGTCAAATCAAAATCTTGTTCAACATGCTAGCACCTTATTCAACCAGTTCCTGTGTGAGTCACAAACACTACAGCCATTCTTCTGTATCCACAGAAAATTGGACACCAAAAAATGCACAGATGTCCAAATCTCCTATTACAAAGCGACATTGTGTGGTATATAACAAACATCCTCCTATGTACTCTAATACAAGGTAAATTTTATGCAAATAGCAGTTATACTGTATTTCTAAGAGAAAAATGACAAGAGAAAGATCTGTACATATTGAATGAGAATGTGATTGTTTTTTCCCAAATACTTATTTTCAATGAGTAGTTGGTTGAATCCACAGATGCCGAACCCATGTTCTAGCCTCAGAAACTCACAGAAATTGTTAAGGTAAATGGGGAGAATGTTTTCCTATTTCAGTAACAGATGAAAATGCTGAGGTTCAGAGTCATTAAGTGATGATCTAGAATTATAGCTTCAAAGAAGCAGTGGCAGGATTCAAAACCTGGTCTTTCGTCACTAAATTTATCCTTTTCTAGACATTAACTGCTTCCATGTTTTTGGTTAAACATCAGTTTTTACCAGTTGGTTGCTTATTGGTTGGTTGTTTAACCAAAGAGCCCTCCATGAACAGCTCTCACCCTAATTCTACACCTGGGCTTCAGACCTGTGGCTCCCCTGAGTCAGTCACCCAGGAGCCACACTTAGACTTCCAGGCCCCACTTCTTCTCCATTCCCCTGAAGAGGTCTAACTTTTGGAGCTGATATCCTGTTCTCTTTGATAAGACTCCCATGAACATTCTCAAAGTTCTCCCTACCAGAGCCCCACACACGCTGAAAATAAAATCTGGGGAATAATACACTAAGGGTTTGAAGACTGAGTTATCTAAGAACACTAATCCTGAATTGAAAATAAAGACTGGTCATTATAGTTCTGGTATATGATTTGAAGGCAAGCTTTAGAGTTTTGGGAAATGGCTTGTTTTCTCTGATTCTCACTCCCTTTGTGTTTTATATAAGGATGTTGATCAAATAATTATCACAACTCTATTTATTCTTATACTCATTAATTGCATGTCATTTACTATATCCCTATAAATTCCTCCAGAAAACAGAAAGTCCACTACTAGAACGCCTCAGTCCTACACCTGGAAGTACACAGGAAGCAGGGAATGGCCATGGGAGGCTCTGACACTGGTAGAGCTACCCTTATCCCCAGAATCCACTCTCACCAACCTTCTTCCTCCATTGTCCCCCATGCCAGCTCTTGTGAACGCCACCTATGGACTCACCTGAGCAGGTCACAGACACATCTTCCTTGTGGACACAGTCATGATGGCCCCAAAACCTGTGCTTGCACTGGTCAAGAGACTTCTCCTTCCCTGAGCAACGAACATCATCCAGCCAGATGCGGCCAACTCCAGGACCATATCTTTTCTGGGTTTTGGAGGATGAAAAAAGGGGCTTCCCGCAGCCCAGTTGCTTGCATACCACTTGGTCTTCCTGTTCTCCCCAACTGTCATCACAGACGGTGCCCCAGTCGTTCTTGTGCAGCACCTCCAGTCGCCCAGAGCAAAACTTATCTCCTCCTACCAGCCTCAGGTCAAAGGCATCTGCAGGGTGGAGAAGGAAGTTGGAAGTTGGAAAGAGAATGGGAAAGGAGAAAAAAACATACACCCTCACCCAAATCCCAACAGCACAACTGAAACTTTCCACTTGTGCTTCTGTGACTGAAGCATGAACTCTAGGTTTCCATCAGGTTTCAACCTCTGTGGCTCAGGTCTGTTTCCTGGGATCGTTTTACTTTCCCATCTATTTTATAAATCTTTTTGTTTGTTTGTTTGTTTGTTTTTGGTACTGGGGATCAAACTTGGGACCTTGCACTTGGGAGGCAGGCAGTGGAACCACTGAGCTAAATCCCCAGTCCTATAAATCTTTTTTACTAGTTTATATTTGAGGAATTAATGATTACATTTATTATGGGGAGTTGATACATGTAGATAACACATCTTAATTCTTTTTTATCTCCTTTTATGAATGATTTTCTAGTAGCTTTTAAAAACTGAAGAACTCGGGCTGGGGATTTAGCTCAGTGGTTTCGCCGCCTGCTGCGCAAGCGCAAGCACCCGAGTTCGATCCCTGGTACCAAAAAAAAAAAACAAAAAAAACTGAAGAACTCAACAGATGTTTGGAGTAGTGTGCCCTGTCTCTACAGAATTCAGTATAATAGCAGTTAATTTTAATATAGTGCACAAAATTGCTTAAACACTTTCACATGCAAAAACAGTTATTATCATACCCATTTTAAAAATAAGACAACAGACAATCCACACAATTAAATGTTTGGCTGGTTGGCCCATTGGTGCATGAGTAGCTGTCTGTATGTATTCTTTGAATGGGATTCCACTTAATGATCACTTCCATAAATGAGCCTAGTCTCTGGATAAGTAAGCTTCACCTTCCATTACCTTCACATTCTACCCATGCGTCGTCATGATGGGTACAGCTGTTCTTCAACGGCCCAGAATCACAATCCTGAAGCATTGCCTCTTCTCCTAAGCATGTCATCTTGCTCATCCAGATGGATCCTTGACCCTGGGTAGTCTCCTTGCATTGTCTTTGGGCCACCAGGGCCCTCCCGCATCCCAGCTGCCGACATAACACCTTCGCAGCCTGGAGGTTCCAGCCTGTTTTGCAAACAGTGCTCCACTGGCCCTTGTGCTCCACCTCCACTCGGCCCACACAGTGCCCAGGGCCACTGGCCAGCCGCACGCTGTCTGGAACTAGGAAGAAAGGAACCTCCGGGGCCAAAGAAAAAGAGCTCTCTGGGCCTGTAGAGGAAGAACTTTCTGGCTCTGTGGAGAAAGAAAGCCAGAGTGTCTGTTGCTTGCAAGAACAAGGTCTTCTCAGAAAAAGGCATCCCAGGTACACAAGCCTCATTTCTTTGTGTTCAATACAATGTATCCTAGAGAGCTGAGCACTGCCTAATAGATGCGTGTTGAGAGAATAAATGAGTGAATCAATGAAGTGAATGTTTCTCTGTGTCAGGCTGAATTATTATCATTTCTGCAGCATTTTAATTTGTCTAATTATTTTCACATTCATCTCATTGTTGCTCAGTTCTTCATGAGACAGAATTAGAGGCAACATAATCTACACTATATATGCACATAAATCTATCTTTTATGTAAACATAAAAGATCAAAAACTTTTTGGTTCAATGTTGGCATTAACTAACTATTCCAATCCTCAACCTTTCTAAGAAATAAGAATGAGACTTCAGCATCAGGGCAAAAGTAACTGTTTCTCTCATAAATTCTGTGGGAGGAGACTTAGGTTAGCCCCTGTGTCAAATCACAGTCTAATGAAAGAGGAAAAGTACACAGAGTGAGAAATTATTATTAAATTTGGAAAGAAAATATGTGTAGGGAGCTAAAAGAATACAGATCTGTGTATGTACATATCAATCTGTTACTATCTATCAAACTAACCATGAGATTGCACTGCTTTCTTGTCAGCTTCTCCTGCCTACTTGACAAGATGACAGACTCTATAAGAACTGAAACTACCCAAAAAGTACACACTATGCCTGGGAGCTCATTTCTTTCCTCTAACTCCACCTCAGGCACAGGATACATCATTCAACAAATGTTTAGTGGATGTGTATGTTTGGTTTCATGTGTGTAAATGAGAGAGAGGCATGGTCTTATATAGATAAAACTAAAAGAAAAACAGTGGTAGGAGTAATAATTCCAGGGCTCACAACTGAGGAAGTGTGAGCTGTGAGGGATAAAGAGCCAACTAGCCACTGTGTGGAAGCCCATGACAGGGAATGAAGACCAGGCAGCTAGTAGATGGTCCTTGAGCCCCACAGTACTTACTCTCACATGATGCCCCGGCATCCTCTTCATGTGGACAATTAAAAACATCTTCATCTTGTTCACACTGAGCCAGTGTGTCTTCCATCCCACTGCAACCGACATTTTGGATGAGGACACTCTGATCTTTCTCTGCCAAAGGCTTGTATTGAGTACCACTAGGGGATTTCTTGGCTATTCCACAGCCCAGCTCCCGGCACACCACAGCCACATCCTGCAGATCCCAGCCATCATCGCACACGGTGCCCCACTGGCCATTCTGCTCCACCTCCACTCGCCCTTCACAGCGGTGGGGACCTCCCACCAGTCGTACTCTGGGTGCAGACTCTGCAAAGAGATGGGATATCAGCTGGAGACCCAGGAGGAGCCCAGTGGGTGCTCAGAGATGTACTTACTCAATCTTGGATGCCTCCAGACAGACAGAGGATGTGCCAAGGTAAGGAACTAGAAAGGAGAGTTTAAAAGAGAAGGAAGGAGCTTCAGGACTCCATCTCTGAGCTCTGATTCTACCACACACTTAATTATATGCTATTAAGAAATTCCACTTGGGGCTGGAGATTTAGCTCAGTGGTTTTGCAGCCTGCTGCGCAAGCACAAGGACCCGAGTTTGATCCCCGGTTCGAAAAAAAAAGAAATTCCACTTCAAGCCATCTAGATGTTACTGCTGGCTTTTTCAGATTAAGGGAAAGAGATTGATTGATTCAGTAGAATCATTAGACTCTGATGGTCAGAACTAGAAGGACCTGCTAGGCATAGTGGTGCATGCCTCTAATCCCAGCACTTGGGAGGCTGAGGCAAGAAGATCACCACAAATTCGAGGCCAGTGTTTGATACATAGTGAGTTAAAGGCCAGCCTGAGCTACAGAGTGAGACCCTGTCTCAAAAAAAGAAACAAACAAAAATAAAGATTTAGAAGGCTATGTAGAGATAATCATAATCACAACTACCCACTATTTCATAGGTGAGGAAAAAGATCCTCATGGAAATGATGGCCCTGCGGTTGTACTATTTAATAATGGCAGCACCAGGACAAAACATAGGTGTAAAGGTCACATCTAATAATTCACACAGGATCCAGATTGAAGCATCATTTACATAATTTAGGCTAAACAACCTCACTCTCTTCCACCGTCAGTGACCCAACACTACCCATTCTTGTTTCTTCCCACGGCATCCCCTCTTGTCCAACCACCTGGCTCAGAAGAAATGTGAAAAGCACAAAGCAAGGGAAGAGTCAGAGATTCAGAGTCTCAGAGCCGAAAAATTTCACTAGAGCATTCTAGGAGATAACAAAAAGTTACCACAGATCCTACAGATACATTTTGAAGAATCAAAGACTTGGTTCTATTTACTGATTCGAATTCTAGGTGTGGAAAAGACTAACAGAAATTCTCTCTCTCTCCTGCCAAGACATAGAAGTGGGGTGGAGATGGCTATGTAGACCAGCAAAAAGCCCATCAGACAATAAATATTTGTTGAACACCCAATTTGTCTCAGATATTGTGTCATAAACTCAGAGAACAGTGATTGAGCAAACACATGACTTATCCCCTCAAAAAGCTTAAGAGTTTGTAGCTTAAGACAATCTCAGCAAATCTGGAACCTGGCAGCTGTGTGTGTAGCAGAAAGCTGAATTTGCCCCATCTTTTTATAGTGGAACAGCTAGCTGAGAAAGATCTGGTACACCAGGAAAGGCTGCATTTGGACTGGTGGTTTGTGTTTTAATGGGACATGAGCAGCTTAATAGAGGCCATGCTGAGCCACATGGGATGACCCAGATGCCTGCATGGATGGAATGTGACTCCTAACTTACCACTGTTCCCTTGTCTCAGCTCAGCACAAATTTCCCAGAACTTGGAATCAACCCAGGAGCAGTGGTTGACTGAGAAAACTCTAATCTGGCTGACTTTAAACTGCCCTGAGAAGTTTATGTTTGGTTGACTTATTTGTTTTTGTTTCTTTTTCTTCATTTTTTTTGGCACAGGGCAATATAAAGAATGAAGAGGAGAGGAAAATTTTACCACAAAACCTAAGATAAATTTCCATTGTTGCATATTTGAGCTTAAAATTTATATATCTGGATAAAATGTAATTCAAAATAGTCACACAGAAATAACTTTTGGATCATTGGACCTAAGATTAGAGTTCAAGTTGACATTATCGTGTATTCCAGTAAATAATTAATATCAGATCATTCCTGGTTATTATTTCATTTTAGTAAGTAAAATTTTTGCCTTTAATGAAGAAGGCAAGAATGGAGTAGTGACCTGGAAGAGTATATTTTTGTCCCTGTTTCCTCCTCTCTTTGTTTCTCTCTGCTTTCTGGCAACCACAGGAAGAGCAGCCATATCTGCCCTGGAGTTAGCCAATCATGAACTGAAAACATGAGCCAAAATAGACCTCTCCTCCTTTAAGTTGTAGGTATCCAGTTATTTTGCCCTAGTGATGAGAAAGTCAGTAAGACAGGGGTAAAGTGCCTTCTGCACCTGAAACAAATCTCTCTCTCATTTCAATGCTGGCCAAGCTTCTTGGGTCACAGAGAAAAGTGGGAAGAGGTCCCTTGGTAACTTAAACCACAGCTAACTCTTCCAGGTTCTGGAAGTGGAAATTTACCCACATAAGGCTGATTGGGTAGAATGGAAAGTTAGGCCCCAGGGATTTAGCTCAGTGGTTCCGCTGCCTGCCTCACAAGTCCAAGGTCCCGAGTTTGATCCCCAGTACCAAAAAAAAAAAAAGAATGGAAAGTTAGAAAGGGAGGGTTTGGGGACTGTTTTGAACCATAGTCTCTCTCCATGGCCCAGGAAGCTTCCCTCTCCCAATCCTGGAAGTCTTTCCCTTGGCATCCCCCTCCCACATCCCACCAATCCCATATCTTACCTAAGAGGCCAAGTCCAGGGCAAATGGCTAGGGAAAAAAATGGAAGTGAGTCAGGTCATGAAATAAATTTCTGAGGCTTTTTATTCAAAGAACTCAATTCTCTAGAAGGCATTTGTCAACCAGTTAGAGTGGTAAATACAGAGTCTACTGTGACCTTCTTTTCCTGGGATGACGATCCTCAGGGGACCCTGGCCAGGAACCTCGGAGACCAATTCTACTACAGCTAACTAATCTAGCCTGTTCCCTTTACATGCATTAAGGCAAAGGTAGACATGGTTTTCCAATCAATGAGATGATGGGTTGTAACTGCCTGAAGTAGAAGTGTGGTGATTCAGCTTCTTTGCTCACTAGAAAAGAGCACTGGGCTGCTGGAAAGGTGCCCTGGTGGAGACCTAAGGGTACCATCAGGACAGTGCAGAGACTAGAGGACAGTGCCGAGTTTGCCAGTGTTCACTGACACTGCATTTAGATCAGGAACAGCAAAGTCTTTCTTTTGAAAAGCCAGAAAGTAAATATTTCAGGCTTTGTGGGCTTCACAGTCACTGTTGGCAACTACTCAGCTCTGCCCTTTTAACATGAGCCGCCATGTATTTGTGGACAAAGAGACATGGCCACGTTTCAATAAACCTTTATTTATGCATGCAAATTTTAATTTACATTTCATTAAATATTATTTTTCTTCTTACGTTCTCCCCACAATTAAAAAAATGTAGAAGTCATTCTCAGTTTGAGGAATATAGTTTGCTGGCACCTAATTTAGAGGATCAACTCAAAAGCAGATCAGAACAGGTCAGGACTATATTTAGTTTGAAATCCCCAGATTTAAGTGCTAAGCACATCCTAGGAATATTGTTTTTTTGTTCGTTTGTTTGTTTTTTGGTTGTTTGTTTATTTCTATAAGATCTCTGTATGGTTGGACTCCTCTAGACTCTTTCCTAATGCTAAAGACTCCTGAGTCCTGTGACCTTCAGTAGTGCTTGAGGCCTAGGCATTTTCAACTATATCACTCATCCCATCTCTATCTTATAGGATTTTTCTGAAACAGCAAATATCTTTAGACCTCCACCTTGGAACTTGTCAGGCAGATCCAAATATTTCAGTGGTTAATCCTGGAATATTTCCTTCTCTTGGTTTGCAGATAACTTCTCATTAACCCCATGGCCATACTCTTCAATATGTGGCCACCCTCAGAGTCCTTGAGATCTTACCAGCAACTGTCTAAAAGTGATGGTTATATCATCCACACGTGAATCACTGCATAACCTCCCACATAAAACCTGTGTACCTGAGACAGAAAGTGAATGTGCCAGGCTTGGTATGCAGGTGCAAAAGTGAGACAGCCAGTAAGTGACTTGGAGCTGCTCACAGGGTGGACAACTGCAGGTGGCACAGACCAGAAAGACTTCATGAGGGAGCTGGGATTTTGAAGGAACCTGGGAGACTTAGTTGAACATCTGTGAGGGCAGCACTAGCTGTCAGGTGCTATTGGGGATGTAGTGGTGTTTAAAATAGAGCCAACACCCTACAGTGGGAATAAATTGATAGACACATGTGGGCTCTGGTAATGCACTACATCAGTGATGGCAAAGCTTGTAGAGCTTTCAGTGATAAAAATAGCCCACTGCAGCATGTGTGTCATAGGTTCATCACCACTGCTCTAAATCATCAAGGCAATAAAAATGGGTGTGATTGGTTAAGGTATAGGTTTAGCAGACTTTGTTAGATGCCCTGTATTAGTTATCTTATGAAAAGGTTCCTAACAAACTTCTGAAGAACATAATATTATTTTCACTTCATAAATTAGAAAGCAAGATTTCAGAGAAGTATAGTAACCTACAAATTCAGACAGCTAATAAATCAAAGAGCCAGGACTAAAACAGCTCTCTTGGGCTCCAAAATCTGCATATTATCTAGGTTAATTTCTAGACTAACCTATCAAAAGAAACAGAGGAAAATTAGAGAAACATTCTACGGATGACTTTTCAGAGGAAAACAGACAAAATGACCAATGAACGCTGATACTTTTGCAGCTCTATTTCCTTGCCTTACACTACATGTTAATGACCAGCATCTATTTATCTTTTTTTAAGTACTTGGGATTAAACCCAGGGCCTTCACACTGATCTACATCACCAGCCCTTTTCTAATTTCTTTCTATTTTGAAACAAGATGTCACTAAGATGCCCAGGCTGGGCTCAAACTTGCAATCCTTCTGCCTCAGCTTCCCAAAGTGCTGGGATTACAGGCATCCACAACTATACCTAGCTCACTAATCTTCTTATTAATATACATATAGGAGTAATTATTTCAAAGGAGAATGGGGTAAGCTGCCATAAGTTTCTTGGTGCAAATACAGAAAAATAGGAAAAAGCTTACAATCAAAGTATATTATAAATTGGATTGAATAAAGGGACATTTTAGAGCTTAGAAGACTTGCCAGATGTAGAAATGAGGAAGATATCCTTGAAAGATATCTGAATATGAGTAGAGAAAAGATTTTTCTAAAGTTTTCAGAAAACCCTGAAATCTACATCAAGAAGAGCAGAGATACTCACCAAGGATCAAGGTGAGTAGCAGAGACATGATATGGACAGCTGAAGGGGACAGCTGAAACTTAAAGCTGGAAGTGGACCCCGAGCAGAAGTGTTCAGCTTTGGCTACAAGTGGGGTAAGAGGAGGAAGAGAGGCTGGCCCTTGTGTGCAGCAGAAGCATTATCAGATGGGCGGTAACCAATGGACCTAAGAAACAGAACTTATAGAGTTGGACTTTACTGAATTCAGCATGTTTAGAATCTAGAGGAAGGGAACTAGTTGGAACTGGCAGAGAGATCCTGAAAGCAAAACAAAATAAAAGTAAACAGGCCATTCTGATTTGCTTCTGCTGTGAGCTGAGCTCCATCCATCCCTGCTTCACTCCTTCACTATGTAAAGGGAAACAGCTCCCACAGGAATAGGCAAGTCGCCATCTCTTAGAAGACTAGACAAGGCTTAGCCTCCAAGAAGGGACTGTGGAAGAAGTCAGCCAATTTGAATTCCTTTACTTCAGAAAGAGGTGCTTAGAGAATAAGGAAGTCACAGGTCATATCATAAATGTGGAGATACCCTTGAAGACCCATTCTATAGGTCATAGTTCAGGGGCAAGGTATTCATCTCTGCTTATAGAGCTGCTTTATTACCTTCAAGCCAGATTTTCCAGGGCTACACAAAGGCTCAATCATAGGTCTTCTCTTCTTTTGTGTTTGTGCTGCTGTGAGCCCATCGTTCAGAGCTGAGTGGCAATGAGTCCCTGTGATGATGGATGCCCTTACTGCAGAACTCAAGTGGTCTTCAGGTCCAATGGACAATGGACAGAGATGGAGCAGCAAGACCCTCAGTTATACAGAGACTGCTCTCTTGTATTGAGTAAGGCTGTGTTTCACAAGATTCTCAACTCTAGATTAGCCAAGCACTCAACTTCCTTTGCAATTACAACCCCTGCTATTTCAAGCAGGGTAATTTTTCCTCTGCATCGGTATAGCTTAGCTTCTTAGTAATAATCAGTCACTTAGCACACTTAGTCCACTGCAAGCACTGGTTTTTAATCCTCTCTTTCTTTCATTTATTATTATGTTCGAAAAAGTTTTTAGCAGCTGTGAATGGAAAACAATGTGATGGATGGAGAAAGTGCATGGATGAATGAAAGAACATGATCTACACCTTAGGAGGCTGAGCCAGAAGGATCAAAAGTTTGAGCCCAGTGTGGGAAACTTCACCACACCATGTTACAAAATTTTTTTTTTTTGGTACCAAGGTATCAAACTCAGGTCCTTGAGCTTGCAAGGCAGGCAGAGGAACCACTGAGCTAAATCCCCAGCCCTTCAAAATATTTTTTAAAAATAAAAAGGCTGGTAATGTAGCTCAGTGCAAAGGCCCTGGGTTCAATCTCCAGTACTACACAAACACACCCAAGCAAATGGTCTAATAATGCAAATAGCATGTGAAAACTGCTTCACAACAAGAAAGATGCTTTACAGAAAGGAAAGTATAAGAAACTCTGCAGAATTCCACCAAAAGACTCCTAGATTTAATAACCAAATTCAGTAGCGTAGCTGGATACAAAGTCAACACTCAAAAAATCAGTAGCATTTCTGTAACAAATAAACTCACTGAGAGAGAAATTAGTGAAAAAATATCTTTCATAATATCAAAAAATTAAATACTTAGGAATCAATATCACAAAGGAAGTAAAAGATCTTTACATTGAAAATTACAGTACTCAGAAAAAAGGAGATGGAAGAGGAGATCAGAAAATGGAAAGATATCCCTTACTCATGAGTAGGAAGAACCAACATAGTAAAAATGCCATACTACCAAAATTGTTTTTAAAATTTAATGCAGGTCCAATCAAAATATCATTAGTATACCTCACATAACTAGAGAAATCATTCTTAAAATTCATTTGGAATCAGAAGAGACCTAAAATGGCAAAAACAATTCTGGGCAACAAAAGCAAGGCAGGAGCCATTATAAACCCTGACTTGAAATTATACTACAGAGCTTCTATGATAGAAACAGCATGGTAATGGCAAAAAAAAAAAAAAAAAAAAAAAAAGACCTGAAGATCAATAGAACAGACTAGAAGATGCAGAAAGCACCTTAAACACATGCAGCCACTTTATCTTTGGCCAAGGGGCCAAACATCTTCATTGGAAGAAAGATAGCCCCTTTAATAAATGGTGCTGGAAAAACTGGCTTTTTACATGCCAAAGACTAAAACTAGACCCATGTCACTCCCCATGCACAAAACTAAAATCAAAGTGGATCAAAGGTCTAAATATTAAAACAGAAACACTAAATCTGCTGGAAGATAGAATAGATAGAATGTTTGAGGACATAGGAGTAGGCAAAGACTTCATGAACAAAACCCAGACAACACAGGAAGTACTACAAAGAATCAACAACTGAGACCTCATCTTATTGAAAAGCTTTTGCACAACCAAAGAAATCACCAACAGAGCGAAAAGACAACCCACAGAGTGGGAGAAATTTTAGCCAGCAGTTCCTGAGACAAAGGACTAATATGTAGAATATATCAAGAAATGAAAAAATTAGTCAGCCCAAATTTAAAGATACAATTCAAAAATGGACATCTGAGATGAATACACACTTCTCAGATGAAGAAGTAGAAATAGCAAATAAATACATGAAAAATTGTTCAGCATCACTGGTCATTCAAGAGATGCAAATTAAAACAATGCTGAAATTTCATCTCACTCCAGAAAGAATGGCTATTATCAAGAAATCAACCAACAACAAATGCTGGCAGGGTTGTGGGGAGAAAGGAACCCTTCTCCACTGCTGGTGGGAGTGTAGACTGGTATAATCACTGAGGAAATCAGCATGGAGATACCTCAAAAAAACTAGGATAAGAGGTCACATTTGACCTAGATATTTCCCTTCTAAGTATCTTCCCAAAAGAATTAAAGGCATCATATCACAGCAATATATGCACACCCATATTTATAGCAGCACAGTTGGTAATAGCTAAATCATGGAAACAGCCCAAATGCCCATCAACTGATAAATGGGTAAAAAAGATGTGGGTTTTTTATATGATAGAGTACTATGAAGCCATAAAGAAGGATTAACTTGAGACATTTCTAGGTAAATGGATGCACCTTGAAAACATACTCTTAAGTGAAATAAATTGAACACACATGTAAATATCACATTGTCTCTCTGGTGTGAGAAACCGAAAATAAAGACCAAAAAGAATAAAAACTATTGTGAAATAGGAAGAAATTGTTCAAAATTATACAGAAGATGAGATACTTTGTGAATACTTAAAATGTTTTAAGCAAAAAAAAGTATAGTATTATTAGGAAATGAGCTGAGAGATTAGAAAATGAATTTTAGATAATGATACACAGTACATTTACTATTGTTATTCTCTAATCATTTTTGTTATGAACAATTATTTTTTCATAAAATGGCTTTTACATTTTCTTTATTAATATCTAATTGTATTAAAACAAATTTTTTTTAAAAATTAGAAATAGAAGCTCTGCAGACATTATATAGAGGAAATGGCCATCTCTACTTGGGGCTAATTAGGGAAGACTTCACAGAGATGATGGCACTTGAGCAGGGGTTAAAGGTGAGCAGAGCGGAGAATCAGAATGGAAGAGATCTTTGGTATTTATCTGCAGAGACAAAGCAGCACTCTCCACTGAAGGAAAGCTGCTTGGGGGTAGTATGAAATGACTAATTCACATTCTGCTTGGTGGTTAGGGGTCATGAGTTACTGGCCAGTGGAGTTATGGAGAGTATACTATGAATGAGTCTGTAAATGCTAATGACTGACATCCTCTCTAGATTTTGCAGCAGTGCCCTAATGGACACAGAATTTAGGAAAGGCCCAAAGTAGTAGCTTTGCTATTGAAGGAGCTAGATTAGACTGCAAGTGGGATCCAAAATCTTATGCAATTTCCTCCATCTTTTACGGTCCTGATATGCACACCTGAGTTCACGCTTGGAGACTGTAGGCCTTCATGTGGCCTGCAGGCAGACAACCCATTGGAGAGCACAGACCTTGTGATTTGGAAGTATACTCTTCATCTCTTATGGAAAACTGAGTGAAAGAAATGGAGAGAGGGAAAAAACACAAAAAATTTCCCCCTATAAAATATTTTATTACGAATCAAGAATATAAAGAAAAGAAAAGGAAGCTCTTCCCATCAAGGAAGACATTATCCCATAAGCCACAAGAAACCAATGAAAGGTGTTATGTATTTGAGAGCAGGTAATCCGACTGCAGCTGGAGGAGAAATTAGAATGGAGGGGACCATTAGTGAATCATGGAGGCCCATTAGGAAACCGCTCCACCAGTCTAGAGAGGCGAAGGAGGACTTGAACAGAAAGTATAAGATTGTACCTGTTAGTCACAGTGTTGAGGATGGGGTTTAAATGGGAAGGAGTTGCCCAGAAAGCTGTATTGGCCTGGTGTCTACTAAAATGTAGCAAAGGTCTGAAATAGGCACTGAGAGGCAAAAGAATTCTCAGTAAAGGCAAGTAAAACTGTGTACTTTACAGCATTAGGATGCAGCTTTTGTAAGCTGCATCACTGTGCCCAGTTGTGAGATCCTCTCAGGATGCCAACAGAGAACCAGTGTACAAGGCTCAGGAATCCTGAGCTTCAGCAGAGAGAACAACTCAAGTGGCTGGAAGGCTTGGAGAAGACCAAGAAATGGGCTGCCAGAAATGGAAAGAGAAATAAGTCTTGGGAACAAAGTCCTTATGGGAGAAAGGCTAGGGGAAGAGACAATATTAGAAAGTTCAAAGTATGGGAAGTTGCTCAGAGAATGGAACAAAGTATTCAGCGTTTTAAAGGATGACCAGCCAGGAGACTAGAAGAGAGGGAGGGGGGAGTTTCTGGTGCAGAGAAGTTTAGGGAATTAAGACATTATCAGTAAAAGACTTACCTGGAAGAAGGAGATAGGAGAGAAGGCACAGATTGGGGAAGCCCTTAGCCATGTAGATGTAGGTAATTTTCCAGAAGACACCAACATTTGAAACACATCAGAAGTTAGAATGCACTGTCTGGGTATTGTCACAAAAGGCCATCTCTACATCCTGCTGGCTTGGCATCAAGGTGAAATCCCCCTGATAAATAGTTGAATATGACACTTATCAGTGGACTCCATGAGAATAGTTGAGAACATCTGAGCTGTTTGCC